GTAAACCTGGCACCAAAGAGGTAAGGATGGAAATATGTCAGACTCTTTACTATAGCAATGAGTTCCCTCAGTGTTACACAGTAGTTCCTCTCTGGTCTACTCAGAACCCTACTGAAGTAGGCCACCACACGTTCGTTTTCACCCACTTTCTGAGACAACACTCCTTCAATTCCGACATTACAAGCATCACAATCCAGTATGTACGGCAGTGAGTGATCTGGAAGCTTTAAAAGTGGAGTGGAGGCCAATTTTTCTTTCAATGTCTTGAAAGAATGCTGGCAAGAAATTGTCCATTCAAACTTCTGGCCTTCTTTAGTCAAATCATGTAGTGGAGCAACTATAGTTGCAAAGTCTTTCACAAACTTCCGGTAATAGGTACAGAGTCCCAAGAAAGTTCTTAACTCTCCCACGTTGTCTAGTGTTGGCCAATCACACACTGCTTTCACCTTGTCAGGATCAGTTCACACCTCATGCTCACTTACACTGTGACCCAAGTGAAGCACCTCTTTCTGGAACAAGTGGCATTTATTGGGATGGAGTTTGAGGTTTGCTGCTTTCAAACACTTGAATAATTCCTCTACCTGGGATACTTTCTCAACAGATGTTAATGCAAACACAATGACATCATCCAGGTACACTAGGGCTATCCTCCATTGTAGGACTTCCAGTACTCTTTCCATCACCCTCTCAAATGTTGCTGGAGCATTCCTAAGCTCGAATGGTATCACACAGTATTGCCAGAGACCTTGGCCATAACTAAATGCAGTGTTAGGTTTATTTCCTTCAGACATTTTCATTTGATGGAAACTCAACTTTAAGTGCAGAGTTGAAAACCACCTGGCTCCACTTAGGACATCAAGAGTATAATCAATTCTTGGCAGTGGGTATGAGTCTTTTTCGGTAATACTGTTAAGAGCTCTGAAGTCCACACAGCAACGTTGGGTCCCATCCTTCTTCTGGACTAACACGACGGGAGCTCTGAAGTCCACACAGCAACGTTGGGCCACATCCTTCTTCTTAACTAACATGACTGGAGCTGACCAAGGACTAGCTGACTTCTCGACTATCCCTTCCTTAATTAAGCTATCCATGACCTTCTCCATCTCTTGTCACTTTGCAAGAGCTATTCACCTTGGAGGGATCTTTAGTGGACAGTGATTGCCTGTGTTTATTCTGTGCTCCACAAGGTCTGTGCAGCCGAGGTCATGATCTCCTTTCGAAAAGACATCTGCATAATTTGCCAAATCTTCTCTATCCTGAAGAGTCTG